CGAAATTCATAACGGTAAAGGGATATCTATAGTTGACACAAAAGTATTCGATTCGGGGTATCGATATTCTACAAAAATGGGTAAGAGAGGACACGTAAAAATGCAAAGCCATTTTGAGGTGGGAGTTTGTTACCATGGTAACTATAAATATAAGTTCAACGAACCACCACAGAGCTGTTCACACTATTCGATTGTGCATTCTCTCCTTTTGTATTTTTCTTTCCCTGCTTCTATACGCATATATGTATATCTTTTGCCTTGCTTATGCTTTTCGGTAAAACTCTGCGATTCTGCGAAGGAGAGGGAATTTAAATGGGAATTCGCGTCTCGAATAAACACACGAAAATAGCTTCGACGTAGTTGTTAGATTTGGATCCTTTATTGAAACAATGATTTTTTCCACTGTGCATACAGTTTCGTTGCAACTTTAATCCTTTCAGGTTCATACAAAATTCATATTCTTGTATGATACGATTTTCATTATCTTATTCTTCTAAAAAAGATCAGGAACACATACTTTATTAATAGTATACGTTGATAAGTACTGTTCCTTAACATCCGACTCGCCATTTCAATCAAGCAAAAGGACACAAAGATGTATTCAAATTTAAACCATAATTGACCAGTAATTGATACATTGACTAATGCATATTATTTTAACAAGAAAAGTATTATAAGCCTGAAGAAATTACAATCAAGGTTGATGACTACGTTATAAAATTTAACGAAACAGCACGCTTTCTAGGTATATTATTCGATTATAAATTTACATTCGAGTCTCATATTATAAAAAAGAAATGTGCTAGAGTAACTAACATAATAAAATTTGTATGCGGCACGTAGTGGGGATTCAGTCCTGAAATTTTCCTCATTCTATATAATAGCTTCGTTCGTTCATTCATGGAATACGGTAGTTTTATTCACTACTCTAAACAAAAGAAGATGATTGAAACATTAGAAAAAATGGAATTCTCTGCAATCAGAGCTGCTTTAGGTTACCGTATTAAAACAATACAAGGTGAATCACCTAAATGAGATTACCTAATATTTCCATTATTTGACTTTATATGAAAAAACTACTCAAAATAAAGTTAAACTATTTGAATGGACACACATAATGGCAGAACAATGTTTCTTTCAAGGACATTCTTTTAAGAGATTTTAAATTCACTGATATTTTCTCAAATGGAGTCCTATTTTTTTCTATGTCCATACAGAGCATGAAAAAACCAATTAAAACGACCTTAATAACTATAATGATCTGATCATATAATCTGCAAATATTTTCATCTAAAAATGGAATACAGTTATGTTTACGTTTGAATATATGAATCGATATGCCACATGTATCCGTCAAAAGTACATATTAATTGAACGGGTGTCTAGAAAAAGGGCGCATGCTACAAATTTTTCGAAAGGGGTTTTCCGTGGAATAAAGGTCAGTGTGACGTAGAAGAAGCTTTGGCAAAATTTTTAGTGCTCGACAATGGTACTAGAGATCAAGAGCTGCGCAGAACAAGAGAACGAACAGTGATTGTACAGTAAGCACTGAAGTGTTTGTACGTTTTCTTGTAAATTTCATGAAATGTAACATAACATCTTCTAGACACTATCATTCAAAAACCTTCAGATTTTTCATTCAACGACAAATAGGTAGCGGTGATATTTATTCAATCTCAATTAGGTAGTCCACTCTGTGCAAACAACTCTATTTATTAGATTGTAAGTAAGCATTTTGATTTTGTTATTCAGTTTAGGTACATTGGTATAGTTTATTATGTGATGATACATTAAAGAATCAGAGATTGATTTTAAAGTTCCGGAACAGTACTTGGAAAATTTGTTTTACGAAAGGCCCATTACTTCAGAAGAAACTGATTAATCTGTGCCATAACTTCCTGTTAATAATTTAGCCCTATAGTTACAAGCTCGTAACCAGAAACGCATAAAGGCGTGGAGTGTATTTTGAGGTGGAACCCGTTGTTTTACAGTTTTATAACATCCCATTACACGCGGAATTATGGCATTTGAAATTCAAGTACGCACTGTTGCGCATTGAATAGCAAAGTAGGCAATGAAAAAAGTTATACATGCACTTTATGTTGTAACCTCTGAGAAGAACTTTATGTCTAAAATATCATTTGTAACCTTTCAACGCATTTCTCACTGACAACCTTGATTTAAGTTTATTTCTTCACTCGTCTTACATTCTATAATATTAGATGTGCAGCATTTTTCAATCAACGTATAGGTTTATTTGTTTATATTACGTCATTTGTTTCGTTAAGGTTTGTTACGGTTATCTATGTAATTCAAAGCTAGTTGGATAACTTCAGTATAACTAATTTGGTACACTATATCGATTATTATGCCCAAATATCTTCTTATTTGTTATACTATCGTAATCAGCTAATGTGTTTGAGAAGCTAACATAATGCAAAAATAGAAACTAATGTAGCTGATAGACATTAACGGTTAGTGTTATGAAATAAATGACATGAAATGAAATTCTTGATATGAAATTTTTGCTATGACATTATTTAATTTTTATTTCGTAAATTATTCTAAATAAATAATACCTACTAATGGAGGAGTAGAGACTATATTAATTACATTTTTTTTAAATTATATCATTTACCCTTCAAATATTTGTGCTTGGTACAAACTATTACGTATCTATGTTAATTAGAAGATCGTAAGATAGTGCTAGTAACACGATGTTTATATTTCTCTAATTTATGTTCGGAAGTACTTCTTTCAGCTGAAATGCACTGAATCCTTTTAAGCCTGAAGTGCGATATAAACGCTTATTGATCATTTCGAAGAACAATGAGTATGTATATACAATACCTGCGTAAAAATAATAAAATCAACACTGGAAAATAAAAATGTAACGTTTTATGAACTAATAGCTTTTCGACATGAATACTCTCATCTGTTTCTTATAGTGAACAAAGAAGTGTATAGATTATTGTATTAAATTATTGCATTAAAAGATGTCGTCTTATCCACACAAAACCTACTGTCAGAAGGTTATTTCCTCGAGACTGCTCACATTTTGTTTGGTACACTTTTCAATGTCATTAACGGTTCCATATATGTATTGTACTCTAAAAACCAAATAAGACCATAACTGCGAAATGACGAATTTCGGTCTTGTTTGCGCATATTCCTCTCGGTTACCTTAGTTACCAACGTCTTAAACAATTGAGCATCATTATGCCTCGTGTAGCATCATACATCGAGTGACTGTGAAGTACAAACGTGCCAATTCATAAGTATTCATATCTTGAGAAATACTTCATTATGTCACCCGGTGTGACAAATTCTATCGCCCATGTTACAGAGAGACCTCTGGTGCTCATCCCAGCTGCGCGAAGCAGTTATGGTCTTATTTGGTTTTTAGAGTACATACATTTACGTAGATCGATTTACTTCAGGCACTATGTATAGTATGTTGGTAGCTTCATATTTGAGACACTTATTTTTTATATTACTCATTTTTAATTACCATTACTTATTTTACATTATTGTATTACGTTTTTCGACAAAAGAATTTGCTATGATAAAATGTAGAATCTTTATACAAAATGCTTTGGCAAATCTGTTAGAAAAGTAAAATAATCTCAAATAAAATAATAGCCATCTTATTCTAGATTAATAATAATGTGAACAAATTTTATTAGAAAAGAGACAAGCGAGACAAACAGTGACAGAACATCCGGAGACCTAACCTATTTATTGTCTTTTTGTACATCTTTGTTCCGTCGTACAGTATAGTGCTTCATAGCAGCGGCTATTATTTTATAACAAAACTCCAATTTAGTTATTCAACTTCCCGTAATAATGTACGCGTTTATTTCTTGGTCGTTTCATTTCAATAGCGTACCTTTTTAATCTTTTCGACACCCTACAATAGACGAAGGTTCCAACATTTGGTCGGCAGTCGGTCCCGGTCGTATCGTACCACCGAGGCGAAGAACAATATCGCCATAAACTTGTACCATTTGGTGACTCCCGTAACCTCGGCGCGGTCAAGCCAAACTTGGCCACGTGATTTTAATTATTTGCAGGCGTATGTTTTTTCATAAAGGAACCTTTTCCTCCACCACGAACCTCAGGACATCCGAGGTTTATCTCTACTCCTTCTGAGTTGAGCCAATAGTAATTCGTGATATTCGAAAACGGTATTAACAAAGCATATCGCCAACGAGGGTGAAGCGCGACGTCAGAACCGCACCTGAACATTTGTAATGATCAGACTCAAACCAGAACTCACCCGGTGAACATCACACACACACGCACACACACACACACACAATTTTGTAAATACAGTCATTAAGAACCAATCAAAGTGTGCTTTATTTTCGGTTTCAATTCTAAAGTTCATGTAACGGTTCGGTGATTAAGTGCGAGCATTGCACGACCTAACAATCTTCATGTTAAATCCTGTAGAAAGTATTTGAGTTGTTTTAACAATAATTTTCACTTTCTGTTCGTTTTCTAACCAAAAACAGTATTTTACGATAACTCATTTTTAGAATATACCCTCATCGGTAAAATGCATTTCAATCTGTCTTTGGTGCTTATTGGTTCAGGTATGACACGTAAGACAGAGTATCTGTATTTTCCCTCCTGTATACGTCATATTTAATAGCTTCTATACCATATCTACGAGTAAATAGTATAGAGAACCTCAGAATATAGATATATAGATACTCACTAGACTATAAGATTCCACGTATCTTTATTAAAATTTGTTATCCTTTACGTTTTTCTGTTTCACTAAAGCCATAAATGCACACAATTCACAATCGTACTTAAGATTCTGTTACAAGAGGATAGAAATTTTCACGTAATCTGGTATTTCCATCTTTGTATTCCACACTAATTAATATTACGCTTAAAGTCTCGAACCCATAAAGAGATTTCAATTAACGCAACAAACTCTCCATTAACGGTACTAACAGGGTTAAAATATTATATTATGTTATACTTACCACCTTGCGGAAAGAACTGTGAGTAGATGCATTTGAAAGTTTCCTCCCTCACGACTCCCGTGGGACATTCTGCCTTGAAGCCACGATATATTCTCTTCAGCTCAGCCTCGGTGAATCTTGTAGCTCTACAAAGGCTTGCCAAGGAATCTGGTCTATACCGTGGCGTCTGTTCCTCCTCGTATTCAGAGTCTGTGGAGTGCGAATAAACGATGTTCCCGTTAATCGTATGAGAAGAAATTTTGCGAACAATTTTCACGCGTGTTTTGTCGTACGCTTTTAAAAATTGAAGGTGTGGCATGTGTGAATGTCACGTTTTTGCCTAACAATCCACAACTCCAACATTGACTTAACGGTCTTGAAGAGAATAATATGGTAAAACTTATTTGAGAATAATTTATTTGAATTTGCTTGGTATGCGCTTGTCGAGGTTGACTGACTTTACAAAAACCATCGAAGCGTAACAAACAAGTTCACTTCTCCGTTACTAGGTCGTGTCGAAGGCGAAGGCGTTTTCTAAATAACAAATTTGATCGGTTCTGCCCTGTAAAAGGCGGAACGTGTTTAGGGTTTCCATGGGAGATATGGTAGAGGAAAATCTCTCCTTAATCCCCTATATGGCCGTGTTATTTTGAAGTCACATACGAGTTTTACTATTATTATGCAAATGGGAATGTTCTTTTTCGTAGTTGATCAATGTAACTTGCAAATTACAATATAGTTGCACATTTGAAAATGCAATACAATAATGTCTCCATGAGTGCGACGTACTCGTGCTCGTTTCGGAGTATTCATGACAAGGCGGAAAGGTTTTCAGCCCCACATAGATTTCTTTTTTACCCGAAGCTGAGCCTCTGCTTAGCTTCTGGTTACTCTGTTTTCATTGGTTCCAGAGGGAGGCTCCCCCAGTGGTAGAAGTAACGCCGTTGCTCGTGTCGTATTCATCGAGGAATTACTGTACTACCTACGTGAACTTAACAGTCAAAAAACTATTCTGATGAAATTAAAAAAGCTTTACAATTGAACATTTATGGTCCATATGCTCAACTGGTCAGTGATAAATAGTATCTATACAAGGTGTAACAAAAATGTTGGAGGATCCGGAAATGGGAGACTCGTGAGGTGATTTGAAACAAGTTTTTTCTTAGCAAAAATGTTATCTCAGGCTTTATTAACGAGATGTTAACGAAGCCTCAGATAACGGTTTTGCTAAGGAAAAACTTGTTTCAAATCGCCTCACGAGTATCCTCTTTCCGTGTCCCCAACATTATTGTTACACCCTGTATACAGATAACTTTCTCAACTTCTCTTAACGGAAGTGTCGATCGAATATTGTAAACCATATTGTCTAAATAAGGTACCGAGAATACACGAACTGTAGAAAACACTGAAAAGACGAACGGTGTGAAAGAAAACGGATGTATCACTTTCCGTTGGAAATATTTAATGGGAAATCCAAAAGATATTTTAAATATATAACTGCCATTCTTAGTTCTACGACTCCGTTGCGGAAAGTAGTGTCATAATCTTTATTAACTTGTCAATCTTGAAGCAAATATGTACTGAAATAGCCATAAAGTTGCTTTTCTAGAGAACGGAGACTGCTGATAACGTCTAAAAATATTGGACCTGGAGGGATCGCGGGTTCCATTGAACAGAATATTGGTTCCTTCTGATACACAGTATCAGTATCCAGGTTCTTGGATACACAGTTACTAAGGCAGACGTGCACTAATCCAATAGTGACCTCGCTGCTATCTGAAGGAATCCGTCCGATACCTTGTATGTAGGTACCTTTCAGGTCTGTATGTATAATCTTTATACATTCTGTTGCCATACATAACAATATTCATTATGGCACAGTAGTATTTTGTTCTCATCACATTTTATAAATGTGATATTTATATCATTTTATATAAAAATATATGTATGTTCACAAATTTGTTCACAGAAAACTCACATTTAATTGACAAAATTATTAGGTATACCAATAAGTAATCTCCCCAGTGATCCCTGTTCATCGTATTGCCGTTTATATGTATAAAAAAAAATATAAAGGGTGTCCCAAAAAATGTAGTATTACCGGGTAAGGTGCAATTTTCCATGAAAAAATAAATCGAAAATGAAGAACATTTTTTGTTCTGCAAGAACTGCCTTTAATATTACTGTATTGTCTCGAAAAATCTTCCTCCTGATTAAACTTTCGCCAATAGTATATTAATATTTTCCTATTAGAAACTAGATCACATACGATAACATTCGAATACTTTATACGTTGAGAAATGTGCATTAATAAATCAATAAAGCACGCATTGTTATAAGTACGATTAAAAGTTAGACGAATAGTGTGTTTCGTTTTATACTCATCAAAAAAATTTAGTGCTAATAGATTTATAAAACTGTAATGGAATAGAAGAAAATTCTTTCGTTACACAGTCATGTATTTCACTTTCAGCTTTTGACACATGGTTATATAACAAGAATCTACATAAGACTATGTCTTGGGGCCACGTGCTTGGGTCTACGGCGCGTTCAAAAAGGGGACAATAGAACGCTTTCTTGGGAAAGTTGCTAAGGAGCGTGAATCCGGTCTCCCGTAAGGATTTTTGGGATACGGCTGGAAATGCAATCGAGGGCATCTGGAGTTTGTCTCAGCCTACCGTTTTTAACGGCAATCGACGCGTCGTAGGTCCAAGCGATGGCAAATTTATGGGCCTTCGAGGGTGGTTTCCTGCGAAAGCGAGGTTAGTGCAGCAGTTTTGTATCTATTTGCATCGTGCGAGTTGTGCTACGATGCGTGGTACGGTAGGGAAACCGCCCTGGATAGCCTTTGGCTCAGGCACATTCCCACACCGTTTCTTGGTATGGAGAATGGACACTTGGAGAGGTCGTTCGGGGCCTCCCCGGTTTTTGGCTTTTAAAAAGAAGGCAGAAAGAAATTGAAAGTCAAGGGAAAAGCATAAAGAGTCTGGAAGCATTATCGAGTCGCTTGTTCGCTTATCTAGAAACTATCGTTTGTGAGTTTTATTATCAAATAAAATCTTAATAGTTTTGTTAGCAAATAAATTCGTTATTTATTGCCAAATATAAAACCTCCAAGAACTTTGTGGGAGATTTAACACTGTGTATAAAAAATAAACAAAAGAAGGTAACTGGGTCATTCCACACTAAATCGATCACTTTTGGACTCGATGTCAGGGATTATGAAGAGAATAAAGATATAGTCCAATATTATGTTTAAACCTCGCGCCAAACCTCGAAAAACACAGCCGCGCTCCTGCTCGTCCTAGTGTACGTACTAGTGAAATAATAAAGACGTATACGTACTACGTTAAAATATACTCAATCGTTTATATAATTAATTACCCCCCACCCATGCATAAGTCCATGTAATCAAAGTTAGTAATTCTTTTCTCGAATTTTGATTCACAAGAATAGGCAAAAATTGCAAATATTGACGACCTGTATTTTTTAAATAATTGCGATAATAGCAAAATGATGATTTAAATCCCTCCCCCATTCTTAATTTCATATGGACTACATTATATTTTATTCAGAACGTAATCCCTGACATCGAATACAGAAAATGATCGATTTGACGTGGAATGACCCACAAATATATGTTGACTTTTATACACATATTTGTCAGGTTTTGTTATGTTGTTTATTAATGCAAACAACATTTTGATTGAACAAAAAATCATAAATTTTTGCGATGTAAAATTTTACTGAACATTAAATTAAGTATTTATGCGAATAATTTTGACTCGTATTGTATGTCTTTACTATAAAACTAGGTTTCAAACCTAACTCCTTCGTATGTTAATTCTTATTTTGAAGAACGGAGACTATATGTTACGATTGTATTTCGGACTTGATATTCAAAAGCTGTGCCTAAAATATGCACGTAAACGAACGTGATTATACAATACAGCTGCGTAAATCCCTTTATCAATGTCATAAACTATGGTCCTATAGAACCAGCACTTTATATTGAGGTATCAACATAAAAGATACGAGGCTGTTTTAATATACACATTTCTAGTTTTAAGTTTTGATTTACAATTTATGTCAAGTAACTTAGTATTTAACTAGAAGGTTATAAACATTACTTATTTTAAATGAATGAAAAACTAAATTTAAGTTAGAAAAATCTCTTTGAGAAAATTAGCTGAGTCCAAATGGTTAATAATTAATATGTAGGAAGTGTTGTAGCAAGTAAGTTGTATATTATTGTAAAGTATCTGCGACGGTATGAAATTTAACCCGTTAGATTACATTAACTGTTTCTATAACTAACATCCGAACATCAAGTGTTACTGAAATTAAACCTTCCATTAAATAACCTACTACGTTTTCAATTTTCATTATGCTGAATTTCATCTAAAGGGCTTCTTAGAAGCCACAATTTCTACACTTAATTATTTCTGTAGGTATCAGAAATACGAAAGAATGTTTCAAATGAAGGTTATATGGTATCAAGGGGAACGTATTTTGAAGAAAATTTTTTGCCCTTGAGGTACCCTTGGAATGTACTGTGAAGATCACCTCTGAATTTTTTAATAGAACCCTACATTTTTTATTATACATTCCAATAGCTGACATCGAGATGTATTCAAAACACTAGAGACACTTGTATTTGTCGCAATATTTTGTTGAGTTATTAACACTCAAAGTTTACGTGCCTCCGGCATTAGCATTACCCCATGTACATCACGAGGAGGTTGTTTGGTCGGACTTTGTACATGATGGTGGCTCTAAAAAGAACCGATTGTGCGTGCGTATATGGTGCTTGTGTGTGTGTGTGTGTTTCAAAACAATCCAACATAAGATGGCTATCCCTCGATATACCCTCCATTATTACGAATAATTTTTTGTAGTCGAAGTTGGAATTCCTTATCTACCTTTGTTAACATTGTTGGTGTTATTTTTGTACACGCATTTGTTATTCTTTTGTGCATTTCCATTCGACTAAAAAAAATTATTCTTAATAATGGAGGGCATATCGAGGGATAGCCATTTTATGTTAGATTATATGAAGTATACACACACAAGCATCACGCACGCACAGTCGGTTCTTTTTAGAGCCACTATGATGTAAAAAGTGCGACTGATCAACCTCCTCGTGGTGTGCATTGGGTAACGCTAATGCAATCTGCATGTAAACTTTGAGTGTCAACCAAGTATTACGA